GAATCGGTTCATTGGTTAAGTCAGGAGTTCTCTCTGTGCTTTGCTAAGGCCAGTGTGAGGCTGCAGCTCACACCAGGGGCACATCACATCAGGCAGCCCTTTTCAGCCCGGCCCCCTCCCAAGAGGGGACTACAACTCCCATTGGCAAGGCACCCAGGAGATGAGCACCAAAATAGCGCTTCCCAAAGGGAATTGAGTTGATGGAGGAGAGAAAAAAGGGAGGGAGGGAGGGAGGAAGGAAGGAAGGAAGAAAAGAGGGAAGTACAAGGGGGAGGGGGTAGAAGAAGGGAGGGAGCGAAGAAGGAGGGAGGGAGGGAGAAGGAAGGAATTGGGAAGCAAGGGAGGGAGGGAGGAAGAAAGAAAGAAAGGAAGGAATTGGGAAGGAAGGCAGGAAAGGAACGAGGGAGGGAGGAATTGGGAGGGAAGGAAGGGAAGGAGGGAGAGAATGGGAGGGAGGAGGAAAGGACGGAAGGGATTGGGAAAGGAGGGAGGGAAGAAGGGAGGAAGGAATTGGGAGGGAAGGAAGAAAGGAAGCAAGGAAGGAAGCAATAGGGAAGGAAGGGGAAGTGAGGAAATGGGGGAGGGAAGGAAAAAGGAAAAAGGAAGGAAGGAATGAAAATAAAGAGAAGGAAGGAAAGAAGGAGAAGAAAGAGGGGAGGGAGGGAGGAGGAAAGGAAGGACGGAATTGGGAAGGAAGAAATTGGGAGGGAAGGAAGCAAGCCAGCCATTTGGAAGGAAGGGGAAGTGAGGAAATGAGGGAGGGAGGGAAGAAGGAAAAAGAAGGAAGGAGAGAAAGAGAAAGAAGAAAGGAAGGAGAGAAAGAGAAGGAAGGAAGGACGTGCTGGACCCCCGGGAGAGAGCTTTCGGTCCAGTGCAGACCAGAAGACAGGAACGCTGCCGGCCCCCTGGGGCTCCTGGACCCCCGGTCCCCCCTCTCCTCCCCCCAGGCAGGGCCGAGAGGCTCACCAGATGTCGCTGGCCTTAGTCTGGGAGTACTGCTGATTCGTGTCGGGACCGTCGGGGCCAAAGTTGCAGCAGCAGTCCCAGCAGTAGTCCTTCCCGCAGTAGCAGCTGGGGCACTGGTCCCCACAGCCGCCCCCCGCCTTGCCGCAGCAGCACCAGCAGCACCAGATGACGCCCATGACGATGACCGCCGAGGCCAGCAGCCCGATGATCACGAACAACGCGATCATCCAGCCTCGGCTCCAACCTGCAGCAAAACCAAGACGGGAGACGGGGGGGGGGGGAGGAAGGCCTTCAGCGCATCGGACCGGTCTTTTCGGCCACAACAGCCCTGCGGGGTAGGACTGCAGCTAGCCCGCCACTTACCGCCGTCGGTAAGTGGAGTGACCGTTCGGCGTTACCGCTAGCCCTTGAAAAGGTCACCGACGAAGGTGACAAACGGTGACCCCCGTGACCCCCAACGGCGCAAGGGTTATAGAAATACATGCCAGGGGCCAGCGGGATTGACCTTTGATCACGGGGGACAGTCGTAAGGGTGAAAAATGGTCATCGGTCACTTTTTTTTTCAGCCCAGGCTTGCCCCAGTTCGTTTAGCGACCGTTCGGAGTTACGACGGCCCTTACAAAGGTGGCTCGTCACGGCTTTTCACGCTTAAACGGCCGTTGCAGGGTTCCTCCCGGGTCAGGTGATCAAAATTCAGACGCTTGGCAACTGACTCCCATTTATGATGGTCGCAGAGCCACGTGATCCCCTTCTGCGACCTTCGGACAAGCCAAGTCAATGGGGGAAGCCCGATTCACTTAACAGCCGTGTGACTAATTTAGCAGTTGCAACGATTCGCTTAACGACGGTGGCGAGAAAACGGGACAAAACTCCCTTAATAAATGTTTCACTTAGCAACTTAAATTTTGGGCTCAATGGTGGTTGTAAGTCAAGGATGACCTGTACTGTATCTTCTTCCATTTTTGGGGGAGGGGGACTTTAAGCAAACATTTTTTTGGGGGGGGGGGACTTTAAGCAGCTTATCGATATTAAAATAAAGTAATATTCGATTACTTTTACACATTAAAATTACAGTAACAAGTGTGTAAGCACTGATGGCTCCACGATTCCCGAAGGCCTTCCAGTAAAGCCAGTTTTTAACTTACTGGGTTGATGAAGACTGGTCCAATCCAAGCCGGGAATAAACAACATGGAGACTGCTTTAAAAAGAAGGTTGTAGTTTATTCCCGGCTTAGACTGGACCCTGATGAAAATTTTTCCTTCGACAGGGCACCACTCCAGTCAATAAATGGTTTACTTGCCTCATCTACTCATCATTAAAAAGAGACAAAACCATTACAGTAGCAACAACAACAACAATATGAATTAGTACAACAACATCAAACTGTTAGCACTGGGAAGCACCACGGTGAAAAATATTTCCCTATAGGAGAAGCATACAAACTTTCAGATCTCAAAGGCTTGCTGAAGCAGCCAAGTCTTGATGGTCTCATGGGATACCAAAAGCACTACACCAGGGGTCTTCAAACTTGGCCCTTTGATGACTTGTGGACTTCAACTCCCAGAATTCCTCAGCCCAGCATGCACGCCTGGCTGAGGAATTCTGGGAGTTGAAGTCCACAAGTCATCAACGGGCCAAGTTTGGAGACCCCTGCACTAGGGTCAAGGGTGAATAGAGGGAATCTTTTCCTTATACCAGGGGTCTTCAAACTTGGCAACTTTAAGACTTGTGGACTTCAACTCCCAGAATTCCTCAGCCAGCATGCCTGGCTGAGGAATTCTGGGAGTTGAAGTCCACAAGTCATCAAAGGGCCAAGTTTGGAGACCCCTGCACTATACTGTATCTTCTGAGCAGTTTTGTCTCCGGGACGGAAACACCAATTGTTTTACATTTTCCCTGCTCCTTCCCAACTTCGCCAGCAGCCCTTACCTCCTCCAAACTTAATTTCCACAGAGCAATGAGCCACGCCGACGTTATTGCCCACACTGCACTCGTAGATCCCCACGTGGTCGTCGCACAGATTACGGATCTGGAGATCCCCTGGAATGAGACCTGAAGGATGAAGACACGAGTGTTATACAGGGAAGTCAAGAGGTTGGATCTGGTTTTTTTTTAAAAAAAAAATAAATAAATTGTGGCATTAAAGCACTGCTCCTGAGCATGTACAGATAGATTTCCATCCAAACATGGAGTGCGCAGGTTGGCTGGGGGAATTCTGGGAGTTGAAGTCCACCCATCTTAAAACATTCTGGCTGGGGGATTCTGGGAGTTGAAGTCCATCCATCTTAAAGCTGCCAAGGTTGAGAAACATTGTACTCTTAGATCTGTCTCCAACCTCTGTGTAAAAGAGACCTCACATTCATATAGCAGCCTGTTCCTCACGTACCCTAATCTTCCCTCTTTGTAGTTTTAATCCATCAGTTTTGGCCCTGGGGAAATAAATAAACCCACTTCCTTTGCTATGTGGGACCATTTAAAGCTTGTGAGCAATTCCCCCCCCCCTCCATCACCTCTTCTGCAGAGTTACAATCCAGATCTTTCAATGTGGTTTATTTTGTTTTTCGACACACACACCCCAAGTTGTCCCTAACTTTTTCATTCCAGCATGTCCAAAATTGGACATAGTATTCCAAATAGCGTCTAACCAGGATAGAGTCGTCTGGGGGGGGGGGGCAATCACGGATGTCTCCTTTGCCCCTGAAATCTTAACCCTTAGGGGTAGACTTCTCTGGAGCTCAGAAGCTCAATTTATGCCAGCTAATACCTCTGCCCAGATCTCTGCGCCCTCTCTGTCGTATTTCTCCCATTCTCCCATCTAGTGGCAGGGGGTTCCGTAAGCTGGCTGTCTAGGCTCACGGCTGATTTCTCCTTTGGCTCCCAACCGCCCCAAGGAGACACTGCGAGAAGGCTGACACTCACTGCCTGAGGGCATCCAATCGTGGTAATTGCCGCTTGACATGGACCAGTGGTAGCTGAGCGGCTGGGTCCCCGTGGAAGTTAAGCAGCGAAGGATGACGTCGTTCCCATACTCGACCTCACCCATGATCCAGCAGCGAGGAATGGCTGGTTTTTCTGGGTAGTGAGCAGAGAAAATAAACCGGTTAAGTTTCCTAATTTGGGGGTCTGGGACCTTTTGTAAATATGGCTGCTGCCCCACACAAGACCCCTTCCGTGGCTTTGCTCTATATTATTATTATTATTATTATTATTATTATTATTATTATTATTATTATTATTATTATTATTATTATTATTATTATTATTATTATTATTGCGATGATATCTGTAATACCATCAAACATCCACATCTGCCTATCCCAGGTCCTTGGGAAGCCCTCGATAGCTAGACAAAATGCCAAATCCAGTCTGAACATCTGGCTGACTGTGCGATGATCCATAACAACAACAACAACAACAACAACAACAACAACAACAACAACAACAATAATAATAATAATAATAATAATAATAATAATAATAAAGTTGGAAGGGACCTTGGAGGTCATCTAGTCCAACCCCCTGCTCAGGCAGGAAACCCTAGACCATTTCAGACAAATTGCGGAAATTCTTTTGATAAACATCCACTGCAAAGTGCCCCCCTTCTCTTTGCAATTGAGAAACTGAGAACAGGTAGTCCTCGGCTTAGGACCAGGATTTCCAGTGTTAAACAAAGCTGCTTGCAGTGAGTCGTGTGCCCCATTTTTACGGCTTTTTTTGGGGGGGGAGGCACGGTTGTTAAGCGGATCACTCAGTTAAGGGCGCCAGGTGGTCACGAAGCAAACTTAATTGGCCTGGCTTATCCAGGGACTCGTGGATAGAGATCACACAATCCCCGGAGGCTGCAACGGTCGTAAATGGGAGGTCAGGTTGTAAGTCACTTTTTTTCAGGACCGTTGTAACTTCGAATGCTCGCCAAAGGAATGGTTGTAAATTGAGGACTGCTTGTAGAAATAAGTTCAAGGAAAGAAGGGAGGGAGGAGGGAAAGAAGGAAGGAAGGAAGGAAGGAAGGAAGGAAGGAAGGAAGGAAGGAAGGAAGGAAGNAGGAGAGAGAGAGAGAGAGAGAGAGAGAGAGAGAGAGAGAGAGAGAGAGAGAGAGAGAGGGAAGGAAGGAAGGGAGGAAGGCACTGAAAAAAGCTACCGGTCCTCAAACCTATGACTGTCGTGGTGTCCCGCCAATTACCAAATCCCAATTTGGCCACTTGGCAACCGACTTGTGTTTCTAACGCTTGCAGCACCCCTGGGTCACATGATCACCCTTTGCGAGCTCCTTCCCATCCGGCTTCTGACAAGCAAAGTCAACGGGGGTGGGGGAGAGAGCCGGATTCGCTTAACGACTATGCAATCCGCTTAGTGACCGTGTCGAAAAAGTCGCAGAGCCGGGCGCAATTCCCTCGACGCCTGAACTGCTTCGCAAGGGACGTTTTTCGGCCTCGTTGGGGGCCACCAGCCGAGGAGCGCGCAGATCGATAAAGCACACACCCAGCCGGGAAACATCCTCCACGGGGTGGCAAAAACCGGTCGCGTTGCAACTCCTGGTGTGGGCGTCGGTGCAATGAGGTCAGGGAGAAGCCCAACGCCAAAAGACTCTCCAAGCATTTTTTAGCATCCCACAAAGTCTGCTTTTTTTTTTTTCCCTCCCAGGGTTTTGCAAATGCGGGAACGTCATTAAGGAATCCTTCCTCGTTAAATGAGGACTAGGCAAAATGTTAATTTGGTGTCCTCCCCAGCTTGGGGGAAGGAGCCCGGTGCCTTGACTGGGGGTGGGGTGGGGGGGGTCTTACCTTGAACATTGATGGTCACTTTGCGGGTGGCTTCGGTGGTCTTCTTCACCGTGCACTCGTAAGTGGCGGAGTCGCTAACCTGCAGATCCCGGAGTTGCATGGAGGCATCGTAGAGGCTGGGATCGGACGAGATGAAGCCCACGCGCTTTTGGAAATCAGAGGATCCCGGGTAGAAGATACGTTGGTTGTGATAACCCAGGAGCTGGCCAAAATAAATAAATAAAAATCAGAGGAGAATAATGAAAAGGAAAGGCACCGTGCTGGATGAGTTTGGGCGACCGGGCGCGAGAACCAAGTGGCTAGTCCTCATGAGTCAATAAAAAAAAAAAAGAAAGAAAGAAAAAGAAATAAATAAATAAAGAAATTCCGGGCAACAGGTAATGCCTGATTCAACTTTCAGCAGCTGAGCTATTTCCAGAAGCTTCCCCAGCGTTGAGATCATTCACAGTCCACCCATGTTTATGGCCAACCCTGAAAAGATAACCATCTCATTGAAATTGCAGATTGCCAGATGCCAAAGCGAAGAGGCTGCAAATGTCGGCATTTTCCTATCTTCCCTATCTTTGCTCCGTTTAAAAGTGTACACAAGGGTGCCGACAGGCTGCACTTTTGCCTCCATCCCTCTCGCTTATCGCATCCCCAAACCAGAGAACCACCACATCTGCAAGTCGGTTCCTAGCCTGTTGTAGCAGAAACGGTTCAAAACCTGCGGAAGGTTTTTGTTCCTTTTTTGAAACCAGAGATTCAAAGCCTGGCGTGGGCCATCATTTTATTTTTTTTAATGTATTAAGTCGCGAGGCCCATCGCTCTAGCCAAACAACTCTGGGCGGCTTGGTTATGATTCCAATTGTTTTATACTTTTATATCTGTGTAATGAAATTCTCCTGGAGGCCAAAATACCAAATACATGGACTGAAGCCAACGTTACTTTGATGCCTAAAGAAGACTCTGATTTAACGCAAATTAAAAAAAAAATTATAGACCAATATCGTTATGAAATGTCGATTACAAAAGCTTTGCTTCAATAATGGCAGAAAGGCTGAAGAAATTTTGGATCGAATTTATGCACACAGATCAAAACGGTTTCTTACCTAAAAGACGGATCAAAAATAATCTTAAGAATGATTCTTGATGTGTTTAGAGTATTATGAAAATTCATCCAGGGAAACAGATGGCTTGAATGTCCCTTGATGCACAGAAAGCGTTTGACAACGTGAACTGGCAATAAGGTCCTTTTTTTTTTTTGAAGACCGTTGCAACTTTGAACGGTCGCCAAACGAACGGAATACCTGGATTCGATTAATCATAACAATATGGATTGCAGTTACGGAGGAGTCTGAAAAGAATCACGTCTTCAACTCACCGGATTATATTGGGGGTGGGGTCCAGGTTTCACCTGCCTCCACTGAATATCCCAGTCATTATCCGGAGTGTTATCTTCGGGATCTGAAGAAAAGGGGCACCCCAGTTTTACCGACTCCCCTTTAGGCAAGTAAATGATCTTATGTCCATCTTCATTAATCCTGACAGCAAGAGCTGCACCTGAAAAAGGAAGGCACACACAAGGTTGCAAATCACATCCCCACTATAAAACTGGTTCCAAAATAAAGTTGCATTTCTAACGCAACCGCCCTTCGCTTTGCCCAGTTCCTTGGATAGGGACTTAAATTCCGAATTTCTCCGGGACCTAATTCACCCAAGCGTCTGGGGGCCCTCCATACAGACAGTCCTCGTTGAACGACTGCCTCGTTGAGCAACGCTTTACAACTTGACAACCACTCCTTGCATTTACAATCTTCGCAGGCTGGTAAAGCCTGGTGAAGTCAGACTGTAAACACAGTCCCGGTTTCACACACGCCCTCTTGGAGCGCTTTGGGTTGTGGGGGTGACGTTTCGTTCTCCGAGCTTGTGGGTTGGTTTCCGAACATTTGGTTACCAGGCTAGGTTACAACTTCGGCGGAGTTTAGGGCATGTCAAGTGCCGGTGTTCTTCTGTGGTTTGTGGGTTGTGCTGAGCCATTTGAGTTGGTGTATATTGTGTGCTGTGTGAACCCCCTCAGTGCATCAGCAGCCTAGTCAGAACATCCTGGCCAGCAGGAATTTCTGCAGGATTTGGTTTTCTGAAGCCAGCCAAAATTCCCTGCTGGTGTGCCCTGTGGAATTTTGTGCGCGTACGAAAGGAGTAAAGTTTGTATCATTGTGCCCTACCCAGACTTTATCATCTGAGCTCTCCCTCTTGCCCCCACCCCGCAAATACCCCTGCTTATCAAGCAATGTAATCAAATGAAGATAAAGTACGTCATCTAAATTCCCCCAATCCACCAGCTGGACAACTTATGGAAAACAGAAGCTGGGGACGGATTCACAGCTTCACATATTCACACGTTCTTCCCACCTCTTCATAATCAGTGTATTCTTTCCCAGATAATAAACAAGCCAGGTGGCGGCAGACTCCAGCCTGGGAGCAAGCAAGGACTTAAGAAACCGAAAAGTCCTCGACTTACGCCGTCAGGGGAGTCCCCAAATTCCTGTTGCTAAATGAGGTATTTGTTAAGGGAGTTTTGCCCCCGTTTTATGACTTTTCTCGCCACATTTATTAAGCGAATTACCGCAGTTGGTAAGTTTCTTAAGTGATTCCGGCTTCCCCCATTGACTTTGCTTGTCAGAAGGTTGCAAAAGGGGTTCACATGACCCCCCCCGGGACGCTGCAACCGTCTTAAGTCCATGCCAGTTGCTAAGTGTCTGAATTTTGATCCTGCAATGATGGGGACGACGCAATGGACGTAATTATGAAGGAGAATATTTGAAGCTCGGCGTTGAAACTATTGAAAAGCTATCCTAAGGCGCTTTTGACAAGACTGCTGTAACTTTGGACCGTCACTAAACGAACTGTCGCAAGACGAGGAATGCCTATATTCCTTCCTTTTGCCCTGCCCAAGACAGAGCACGCGAGAAAAAAAATTTGCTCTTCCCAGCATCTATCCCCCCCAAAATACCTTCCAGGCTTTGGAAACGAGGCCAGGTTGGTTATTTATTTATTTTTAATCCCGCCTTTCTGTTAAAAAGCCAAATCACTTCTGGGCTTCCCAGCAAAATTAAAACCTTATCCCAAATATGCCAATTATCTTGCTGGTCCCCAAATTTTTTTTAAATAATAATAATAATCCCACGCCTGTCGAGATTGTGGTCTCGGCTTGCCAAAAGTGGCGGATCTCCTGCCTGGATTGTTTTTGCTCAGCTTAGTCATCCAGGCTTCAACAAGTGAGATCTCGGCGGACGATAAGATAATGCCAGCCTTACAACGATCATTAGCGACCGCTCTGTAACTCGTTTCTCCGCTGTGTCTAATAATTAAGATGATGGCAGGGTATCCCCGTGCAAAGCCCTTTGTTGACAGGAACTAAGTCATTTTCTCCTCCGTGGCGGGGAAGCTGTTTTGCGGCTTCCAGATGCCAGCGAAACTTAAAAGCTTGTTCGTTATGTTTTCGTTATTTAATTTTATGGCAAGTATCAGAATGGAAAGGAATATTTGTGGCTCAGGGCTGACGTGGGGAGATCTTGGTGCTTTCTGAGCAGACGTTTCGTGACCCAACTAGATAACGTCATCGGTGCTAGACGGGGATGGGAATTGTAAAGAGGAGGAGGAGGAGGAGGAGGAAGAGGAAGAGGAAGAGGAAGAGGAGAAGGAGGAGGAGGACTGTGGGGTCCTTACTGCTCTCTGAGCTTATTTTCTTGCAGACGTTTCATTACCCAACTAGGTAACATCAACAGTACTAGTGAGGTATGCAGGGAGGAGGAGGAGGAGGAAGAGGAGGAGGAAGAAGAAGAAGAAGAAGAAGGAGGAGGAGGAGGAGGAGGAGGAGGAGGAGGAGAAGAAGAAGAAGAAGAAGAAGAAGAAGAAGAAGAAGAAGAAGAAGAAGAAGAAGAAGAAGAAGAAGAAGAAGAAGAAAAAACAACAACAACAACAACAACAACAACAACTGTGGGACCCTTAGATCTCTCTGAGCTTGGTTGTTTTCTTGCAGACGTTTCATTACCCAAACTAGGTAACATCAACAGTGCTAGATGAGAATGGGAATTGCAAAGAGGAGGAGGAGGAGGAGGAGGAGGAGGAGGAGGAGGAAGGGGACAGTGGCTCCTTAGTGCTCTCTGAGCTTGCTTATTTTCTTGCAAACATTTCATAAGCCAGCTAGGTTACATCATCAGTGCTAGAAGGGAGTGGGGATCGTGGACTCGGAAGAGTAGGAGTAGGAGAAATATTGTGGTGTCTTTGATGCTCTCTGAGCATTGGTTGTTTTCTTCCAAACTTTTCATGACCCAGCTAGGTAACATTATCAGTGCAAACCCACTCCCTTCTAGCACCGATCTAGTTGGATCACGAAACATCCGCAAGAGAATGAGGGTTGGACCGGACCCACTTCACAAAACCACGGAGACTCGAGTGCACGTTTGGAGGCAGCAACAACAAAGCAGAATTTGATGCCCCAAAAAAAGGACGGGAATAAAATCCACCCGAGTGGACTGTGGTGAGTGGATCGTAGTTCATCGGTTGGACGGTTCTTAAAAACTCAATTGAAGGGATTTATACAGTGATGGTCTCAGAGCTGGTAGCTTTGCCTCCGATGAAATTGCCTCCGGCAGATTGGAGATGGAGAAAATGAGTGGGTAAATATTGCAATATTTGATCGTGCCGCTGAGGCTGTTGAAATGAGGCAACACCTAGCTAACCTTGGCTCACCTGGGCAAGGTTAACAGGAACAGATTTGGGAAGCTGTAAGAGATCTTGGAAAAAGGCCAAGAGAAACAAATTTTGTGCACTTGCCAAGAAAACAAAAGGAACGTGGCAAGAATAGAATAGAATAGAACAGAACAGAACAGAGAATAGAGAACAGAATAGAACAGAATAAAATAGAATAATGAATAGAATAGAATAGAATAGAACAGAGAATAGAGAATAGAGAATAGAGAATAGAGAATAGAGAATAGAGAATAGAGAATAGAGAATAGAGAATAGAATAATGAATAGAATAGAATAGAATAGAATAGAATAGAATAGAATATAATAGAATTCTTTATTGGCCAAGCCTGATTGGACACACAAGGAATTTGACTTAAGGGAAGTGTAACTTTTTCAAAAGAAAACAAAAGAGGATAAAAAAGTTGGTTTTCTTTCCTTTTTTCATTTACCCAAAGACAAAGAAATTAAGAAAAGAAATGGCTGTGCAAGAAAAATTACGACACAATCTCAGCAGATTCAAGTAAAATGTCAAAGGCTGAATATAACTAATCCCTTAAAATAGGAGCAGCTATTGAGCTATTCCTCAATTATTTACTCATAATTCTCCGTATCTTGCCTGTGTCTCAGTTCACAGTGAGAAAAAGCACCAGACATAATCATAATTTGCACACAATTGTCCTGGAATAACAATAACAACATTCTCCATAATAGTCCTTTTGAGGGAGATAAAGGGAGCTGGACTCAAATCTTCCTAATCTAGCACTCTAATCACTACTCCACACTGCCTCTTTCTCGAAAAGTAGCTCTTTTTTATTGCTTGTCCTAAGACAGGACCTTGGGGGTGTTGGCCCCATTCTGTTCCAATCTTTTGCTCCTCTTTCCAGGTTTTGTGTGCAACCAAATAAGGGAATCCAAGAATTATTAAACCAGCGTTTTCAAACTTGGCCATTTTCAGATGGGGGGGACTTCAACTCCCAGAATTCCCTAATCAGGATGATGGCTGGGGAATTCTGGAAGTTGAAGTCCACCCATTTTGAAACATGCTAGTTGGGGTTATCTGGGAGTTGAAGTCCACCCATCTCAAAGCATGCTAACTGGGGGGTTCTGGGAATCGAAGTCCACCCATCTCAAAGCAAGCTAGATGGAGGATTCTGGGAATTGAAACCCACCCATCTCAAAACACGTTGGCTGGGGGATTCTGGGGGTCGAAATCTACCCATCTGAAAGCAAGCTGGGCAGAGGATCCTGGGAACTGAAGTCCACCCATCTCAATGCTGCCAAGTTTTGAAAAGCCCCCGGATTAAAGAAATGGAGACATCGCGAAGAAATAAATCCACACATCTTACCTATAAGAATGCAGGAGATTAAAAAACGTAATCCTTTGCTGCTTTCCATGTCCCAACGAGACGGTAGCTGGATCCAAGGAAGATCTTGGCACAGAAACCCGGAACCCCACAATTGTTTAACTCTCCCAGTTCGGTCCTTTAAGAGCTGGTTTCGAACAGGCGAGGGAGGCACCTCCAAACTGTAAAACTAAGCCAGAGAAATTGCCTTTGAGGTCCGGACACGCTCGGCAATTATGCAAGACATTCATCTCCATGGTTTTCCACCCACAGCCAATCTGATCCCCAAGCATTCTCACAAATCTGTCAATTCCCCTTGGGGTGAATCAGTCAATTTCCTTGGCTGTCAGTCAGTTTCAGTTTCTCATTTTTTAATTTTTTTTTTAGGATACAGTTAAGGGGAGAGTCTCTATTTCTGTTCTGTTTTTTGTTTTGTTTTTAATTCCCCGTTTTATTCTTTTCCCTGCATGCTCCTTCCAGACTGGCGGGCATCGTTGTTGCAAATCCCTTGCAGATCTCTGGAGAAAATTCATTGCTTGATTCATGAAAGGAGCGGGCAAAATATTATCTGGGCAAGGGTCATAGCCATTCTCCAATGCCCCTGAAGGCTAGACAAGAAGCAACGGATGGAAACTGATCAAGGAGAGAAGCAACCTAGAACTAAGGAGAAATTTCCTGATAGTGAGAACAATTAACCAGTGGAACTCCTTGCCTCCAGAAGCGGTGAATGCTCCAACACTGGAAGTTTTTAAGAAGAGACTAGACAGCCAATTGTCTGAAATGGTATAGGGTTTCCTGCCTGAGCAGGGGGTTGGACTAGATGACCTCCAAGGTGCCTTTATTATTATTATTATTATTATTATTATTATTATTATTATTATTATTATTATTATTATTATTATTATTATTATTATTTCGCTCGCTACTTTCAGGAGTCAATCAAGGCCCCTTTTCCAGAGATCTGCATCGAATTCAGGTTTTGCGTTGCTTCGATTTTGAAGAAGGCAGGGCGTCGTGGCAAGCCTCACTGAGCCCCGGTTTTGGGAACAGAACTCATTTTTTTGTCGTTGTGCCTCTTGGATAAAAATGCGAGATGAGGTCAGATTGCGTTTAAATGCAGATTGCACAGGTTTCTCAGCCCACGCCCGCTTGAGAGCGAGCGCGCGGCTCACAGGGTCCCGGCTTTTGAGTGTGCGGCAATTTTGATTTCGGAAGTTTAGGCTAAATTGGGGAAGAGACCCCTGGCTTATTTTAAGGAGGTTGTGCTTTCATAACAATTGCGTTTCAAGGCAAATCTGCAACCAGGGTGATTTGGGGTCGGTCCGTCTCCCTCCCTCTCCCTCCCTCCCTCCATTTCTCTCCCTTCCTCCCTCTCCCTCCCTCTCCCTCCCTCCCTCTCCCCCTACTCCTCTCTTTACTCCCTTTCTCTCCCTTCCTCTCCCTCTCTCCCTTCCTCCCTCTCCCTCTCCCCTCCCCCTCCCCCTCCCTCCCTTTCTCTCCCTTCCTCCCTCTCCCTCTCTCCCTCCCTCTCCCTCCCTCCCTCTCCCCCACTCCTCTCCTTTCCTCCCTTTCTCTCTCTTCCTCCCTCTCTCCCTTGCTCCCACGCCCTCCCTCCCTTTCTCTCCCTCCCTCTCCCCCTTCCTCCTTCTCCCTCTGTCTCTCCCTCCCTTTCTCTCCTTCCCTCCCTCCCTCTCCCTCTCCCTCTTCCCCTCTCCCTCCCTTCCCTCTCCTTCTCTCTCTCTCTCTCTCTCTCTTTCTCTCTCTCTCTCTTTCACACACACACACATTAGCCAGGCTACCTTGCAGGATTGCTCTGTTAGGAAAAAATTAGGAGGAATTATGCCACCTCGATTTCCCGAAAGGGAAGTGAGCTGTAAAACTAATGAATAAATTCAAAGGGCAAGGCCAATGTTCTTTCCAGCATGCATTTTCTTTTCCATCCAAGCGACGTTCGGCCCTTCTCAATTCTTCCTCCCTGTCCTGCCTGATTTAATTTTATTTTGCTGACCAATGATTTTCTTGGGGGCAAGACAAACTATGATTAGTGGGGGATGCAACAGCAGAATTGCACTGGACCCCCGCGTCCTGTTGAGATTTTTATTCCCTTTATATAGGGTTTCCTGCCTCAGCAGGGGGTTGGCCTCGATGACCTCCAAGGTCCCTTCCAACTTTATTATTATTATTATTATTATTATTATTATTAATTATTATTATTATTATTATTATTATTATTATTATTATTATTATTATTATTATTATTATTATTATTATTATAGTCCCTGACTTAACAACCATTTGTTTGGAGACTGTTTGAAGTTGCAACAGCCTCGGAAAAAAGTGACTTGTTTATTTATTTATTACATTTCTACGAAGTCACAGAGACTTCTACATTTCTATGACTTAGGACCGGTCCTCGCCCTTACGACCGCCGCCGCATTCCCAAGGTCACAGGGTCAAAATTCAGGAGCTTAGCAACCAACACGTATTTACAACGGTTGCAGCGTCCCCAGGTCACCTGATCGCCATCTAGAATAGAATAGCAGAGCTGAAAGGGACCTCGGAGGTCATCTAGTCCAACCCCCTACTCAGGCAGGAAACCCCTATTTCAGACAAACGGTTGTCCAATCTCTTCTTAAAAACTTCCAGGGTTGGATCGCTCACAACCTCTGGAGGAAAACCTCCCAGCCAGCTTCCAACAAGGAAAGGCAGTGTGATGTCTCATTTAATAACCGCTGGGGAATTCAACTAACGACTGCATAAAAAAAAAGTTTTAAAATTGGGAGTGGTCACGTGACACCCCATTTAACAACTGCGCTGTTTAACCGCAATTTTTCCTGTCCCAATTGTGGTCGTTAAGTTGAGGACTACCTGTAGAATATCCAGCTATTGACAGGCTGGTGGATAGATTTATCCCCAAACGGTCAAGCTTGGGGAAAAATTAGAACTAAAAATTAAACCAGTTTTGTTCCTTGTAACATTAGCACATCTGGGGACCTTGAACAACAACACCACCACATACAGCTTTATAGTATAACCCCGAAACACCTGAGCAGTTGTTTTAAAAAGTTGTGTCCGCAACAGGGACGTTCCTGATAAATCAAATAAAGAAACCACACACACACACACACACACACACAAACCTAAATAAAACTGGAAAGTGAACCCCATTGGTGTAAATTAGGCTTCCAATTTGAGGATCAAATTACATGAATGCCTGAAATCAAATTCTCTCTACCCCTCCTTCCACACAGGCACACAAATGCACAAACACACACCCTGCTTTAAAGAACCAGCTTGCAGAGAATTAATTTGACTCTATGATCTGGAGCATCTCCACTAGCATCCGTCATTAAATACTCTGCCGCTGATTTTAAATGACTGCTCCGAAATAATTTCAGCCCAGCCTGTTTGGGCTCGACTGAGCACCTTCCCCCTCACTGAAAATTCATCTCCAAAGCCTTGCAAGCAGAAAAGCAGAGTGTCAGGGAGAAGCCTCGCCTTGACCTGCTAGATTTCTACATCTCTTGGTTGCAAGGGATTTTGCCGGCTTGTCCCGTCTCCCGCCTGCCAACCTCCTCTGCCTCGCCAGGATTTGCAGCGGGTACCTTGTTCCTCGCCGGCGGTGCGGTGTGCCCTCAGCTTTGCTGCCTTGCCAGGATGGATGCCACTGGCCTTCTAAGAGCCAGCTCGGAAGGAAGAGGGGGAAAAAGACACCTGCACCTTGCAATTAGCTCGACACCCCGGAGCGAAGAGGGCGGTGCCTTTTTAAAATACCAAATCAAGATATGATTTATGGAGCGGAGGAAACTGGCGTTTTCGGATGCAGCACAGGGCAGGGTGAGCGGAGTAAGGCGTGAGGCATTTTTTCAAGGCTTCCCCGTCATGTCACAAAACTGCACGCCAAATTTAGCAGGCGTGCGACACACAGTTGCTCCGGCCCTACCCAAGGCGCTTGCAAATTAGGCCATATGCTCCACCAGCCTCTCTCTCTCTCTCTCTGCTTACAACCTCCCTTACAGGTAGGCACGAAAGACAGGGCGTCCTCTGCCCTGTTTGTGAAAATTATGCCAGCCTCAGCAGGCGGAAATCGGCGGGATCAAAGACTTCCAGGGAAATGCAATCGGGCGATCAAAACTGCCTGCCTTGCCAAATTGCCTGCAGTCCCCCGTTTAGAACTTTGCATTCTTTTCCCCCACCCTGAGGACCAGCAACTTGCATGCTTTTTTAAAAAAAATAAAGACTTGCAACGTGCATGTTAAATGTGCACGTTTCTCACCTTGCCAAATTCTAGGACTCAGGGTGCATCACTTGCTGAGTGCAATTTGGGGAAGGAAGCATGAATAAAAAATTGGTAGCCAGCTAAGCCATCCGGGATGTGTAGGAAACAGGAAAGCATACACATTCTACCTGGAGTAAATTAGCATGTCTAGAATTGTCCCGCAGGATATATTCGGCATCCTGAAGGCAACATTTATTAAAAATAATTCTCGACTTACAAGCGTTCATTTAGCAACCGTTTGAACTTATGACGGGGCTGGAAAAAAAAAGCAACTGACAACCGGTCCTCGCATTTACGACCGTCAGAGTGTCCCTGTGGTCGTGCGATTACGACGGGTGTGTATTTACCGCGGTTGCAGCGTCCTGGGATCACATCATCCCCCTTTGCAACCGACAAGCAAGCCAGATTCGCTTAATGACCGACACGATTTACTTAACAACGGCAGGATTTGCTTAGCAACCGTGGCGAAAAAGGTTGTTAAAAGGAAATTCTGCCCCAATTGTGGTCCTGCCTGTATCACCTTTTCGAGATCAAAGGCCTAGTTTTATTATCTGTTTGTGGCGCAACAAATCCATTCGTTTATTTAAATTGGTCCCAATTGTTCCCATCTCCTTCGTGAAGGAACTCCAAAGGCTAAACCAAACCGAAAGTTAATTGCTTCATGGTTGCAGGTTGTTTACACAATTGCACAACAATCTCAGCTTTGTTCTGAAGCCGTATTTTCATGTGGTTCCCTTCTGCTTAGATTTACATATGAATGTTGCTGAACGGAC